GATGCAATTTGAGAAGACAAGACGATATGTAGAGGATCCTGAAGGGTTGGAAAAAGAATGACAGAATCAAAAAGAATACGCAACCACAAAAGGAAACCGACAAATGACGGGAATGAGTGTATTGATGGAGGTCATCTTATTTATATCTTGAGAAGGGAGATCGAGAATATAATACAGCACACAGGATAAGACCTGGATATTTATTATTAGTCAAAATGCGTTGCCTACAAAATACCATAATTACCATCAACAAGAATGTAAAATTGACTTTTGAACAACCAACTTGCGTTAATTACCAATTTTCTCCGTAGTATACAGAACAGCTCAACAACTGGTTGGTTTGCATGCACTCTTGATGATGTTACATTCAATTCAATAAAACGATTATAAACAATTATTGCAATATTAAAATATTAGAAAATGGATCTATTTATCCGGTCTTATTTCTTCTAAAAAAAATGTACTATAACTCTCCATCATCGCCATTGTCGAAGAATGGGTGGGGGAAAAAAGGGGTTAAATTTTGGATGATGTAACAGGATAAGAGGCAACGAAAAGAAATATGATAGGGATGACATTCTTTCAACCAATTAGCAAAAGACAATCAGGCCGAACAAATATTCCGTGATTGCCTGCCACCTCAAAGTATTTGACACTAGCGACAGTGCCATTGTTCTTGCCAACTAGGGGGAGGAAAAAAGAACACGTTAAGTTAATTAAATTATCCAGTATATCAACTAATTTGACCCCCATCTTACATTTACATTCATGCTCCCTTCTTCCCCTTCGTTCGTTCACCCACTCACCTGGATTATCCAAACCAATCCCGACCCAAATTCCCTTGGCAAATTCTGTTTCACCCAAAAACTGTATAGTCCCCTTTGCATTATTCTTCTTTGGCAAAATTACTCTTCTCCCTACTGAGATATCAGGATCTTTGGTTGTCGCCAGTTTGACTTGATACGGTAACGGAGGCAAACTAGAAATCGACGCCGTCGACGCAGTAGTAACTGTTGTCGAAGTCGAATACTGCGATGGCGATCGGTGTCGGAGCGAGTGAGACGCCGTCGAAGAAGAAACGGAGGAGACTGAAGCAACAGAACTCGCTCGTGAAGATCCAGGAGACTTTGTACTATTCCTATCTCGTCCTCTCCCTCGTCGTTGCTCTATCTCGTCAAATTTCATCTGCCGTAACATACTTGAGCGCGTCTGTCTTACTCCGCCATATCGAGTAGGTGAAACCGAAGGTGACGATATTGAACGGGTAGATGCGACCGAGCTTGCTCTTGATGACGGATTAGAAGTTGGCGACTTTTGAAGCGTTTCTCGCCCTCTTAGCGTTGATGTCTTGGGAACTGTGAGACTAGAGGTAGACGATTTTTTCGTCGCTGTGCGAGAGGACGAAGCTTTGGCGTTGCTGATTTGAGAGGAAGATTTTGTTAAGCCTGATTTGGGTTTATCTGTTGAAGGAGTGATGGTTATAGATGTGGTTGAGGTAGAACTTCTCGTGCTTGAAATACTGGCTGTTGATTGTCGTTGACTGCTAGTTTTAGTCTTGGCTTTAATCGGATCCTTTGCAGCAGCCTCTTTTAGGGCTTTTTGTCGCAATACACTCGCTCGTGTAGGACGATCATATGATGGAGTGGTGGTTGTCTCACCGATTCGAACTGACTTGCCTTTTCTCGTTGATGATACTGAAGAAGAAGTCGACGTTGAAGCTGATATAGTCTTTGTTTTTGTCGCAGTTGATCCTTTGTTTGTTCCCGCTGACGTTGCGGAACTACTCGAGCTTCCATTCGAGCTCCCAATACCCGATTTTCCTGCCGTAGTTTTCGATCCATTTTCGGTCTGTTTTGATTGTGTTTCTTTCACTTCGCTCTTCTTATCTCCACGCTCATTCTTCAAACTTCCATTGGTTCCATTACCATTTGTGGGCGCTGTTACAGCTGACGAACTGGATGACGTCGATGCAGATGATTTTCCGTTATTCGCCGGGTTTGTGACTGTTCGTGATGTAGTCGGACCTCGAGAATGAGATTTGGTCATGCTTGCGAAACTACTGGAGCCATTAGAGAAGTAAGGTATCGGTTTGCTTTGTTGGTAGGAACTGTCGGTTAGGTCTTTTACTGGAACATTCAGTTCTAGATTATGGTTGTTGTTGTTTTTTTCAGAGAAATATGTTTGATGTTAAAACAGAATTGATAAAACCACCAACTTTAGGCTAACAGTCGATCTGGCATCCATGCATTCTCTCACTTTGAATAAAGATCCCTCTACTTACCTTGTGAAAATTCATTCAGCAACCACGAACTCATTCCCCTGAATCCGCCATATTGTCTGATACCAACCCATCTCTTCTTTACATACTCGAATACACTTTGTTTTGCCTGCAATAAAACTCTCTTTGACTCCAAACTATCTCCTTCTGAAACGGTTTCTCTTGTAAGTAATTTGCCCGTAATACAGGCAAGTACAACCCCTGCGTTATCTTCCGTTAAGCCTTCCTCGACGACAATAATCATAATATCCTCCAATAAATCTGACGAAAATCCAATCCCGTCAACGCAATCAAGAAACTCTTCATCGTGATCACACATTTCTGAGAAATTTTCGACCAACAAAGAAGTAATATGCGTCCGCACTTGTGATATCATCCGTCTAATAGTCTCTATCCATGGTAAACCGATCCCTTTCGCATCAATAATAGCCAATACCTTTCGACATCCTTTGAACACTTGAACAATCTGACTACCCTGTATGCTATTCAACAAATTTAGAAAAACTTCTTCCCTTATATCCTCGTCCAAGTCGGCGAATGCCTTTTGCGACCACATTGCATCGAATCCATGTGTCAATACGTGTAAACAACCTTGCCATAAAATGTCGACTTCGTGTTCTCTAGAAAATGTTGCAACACGAGGAATGACTGTTTGACATTCTGTGCAAGTGCAAGAAAAAAAGTGCACCTTTGTTGCTATTCGGTGAATGCATAGGTCGCCGAGCGATTTTATCCCGAGAAAGTCAGAGCCAATATAGACCATTTCGCATGTTTCTAACGTTAGAGGTTTTGAAGATATCGTTCCAGTATATATAAAAGTAAGGATTATGTCTAGTGAAGTTTCGTTGAATATGGATGCATCGAGAGAGGTGGAGGCAGCACGAGAATCAGCGTAGTCGGATTGTAGCATAGCTCTAAAGTAATCGGACCGAGCACGTAACATAAACCTGTGAGCCCTCATGCCCGTTGGCATAGCCTTTTTGGACACATACTCATCTTCTTCGGATAATATCTCAAAGCGATCGTCCGACGCACTGAGTGTTAATTCAATGTCAGTATAGAGTTTTGACTTCAACATGTACAATAAATCTTCTTTTAGTTTTTCCTGCTCTAATTCATCCGTCGTATCCACTGCAGTCATAAATTCTTGTGAGCCCTCTTCGCCCGTGTAGAAAAATGTCAGTTCGTGCTTGAAGTCAATATAATTGGTGTCTGTGGGATAGATCAGAGGCTCGAAAGTAGAAAGACGAATCGAGCGAGCGGATGAAGATGAACAATCTTTGTTTTTGAGGTATTTTTCTTGGAACAGACGGGAGCTTCTTGCGTAGAGGATAGCTGGTAGATTTAAAAGGCAGTATTAGGGAATAATAGAGATAAAAGGAAAGAAAAAAAGAAAGGGCGATGATGGAATTTGAGTTGGGAGAATAAAATTTGAGAAGATATAAGTCAGTCACAAGTCATAAATTAGATAGGTAATGAATAGAATAGAGAATCAGCAAATTCATAGCATCGGTGGAAATGAATGAAATATTTTTTTTTAATGTCGTCATAGTTGTAGTTATTGAATTCGATCCAGTTTTTTGTTGTATTTGGGAGTTTCCCGTATGATAAAACATCGAATTAAAATTTCCATTTGAGAATAGAATACATATTAGAAAAAGAAATACGGAAGAACAATGTTTAATCGCTCGACAATGACTTCCTTTATTATACTAATGTCTCTATTATAATCACGACTTAATACAATCAATAACACTTACTCTAACTACTGCTACTGAACCAGTTTCAATCTCTCACTCCCTTCCAATCCCTGTTTTGTTTTCTTTACCTTTATGTGCATAGATAACTGTAGGCACAGGAGCCGCTGTAAATTCCCAAGCGATGTCGGCAAAGAATTCCTTTGCATTTTCCATCGTGTAGCGCAAGTCCTCTATCAGCGTATCCAGTGGTTCCGCAACAAAATCTAGTCCCGGCGGCGGGGGGATTGTGCGTTTCTTTTTTTCTGCTGGCATTATGAATTCAGTAAGTTATATGAGGGAACGACTATAAAAGGTTGGGTGCATATGCACTCGTGTTGAGAATACTGAAGGGAAGGGTGTTGAAAAGGGTTGTGCGTAGAGAGGATTGGTAGTTCCTCTCAAATGGTTGTTAATTACGGATGGTTAAATAGCCCCTGCCAAGGATTATTAAGCCTCAAACTCAATCCTTGATTATCAAACTTTGCTTTTATCAAAAATAAAACTTCTGAAACCGTTCTTGGACGGCGCACTAGGTGTGTCTATAATGCCTAATCGCTCTTCTTTATTGACTAAACTAATAGTCGAGTTCTGTATTTTATTTTGAGTGTTGGCATCCGTATTTGGGGGTCTTCTGTGAATATATTTGGTGTTGAGCGTTTGGATTGGGCACAGACTGGGGCAACACACTTGGCGATAAAATTATATTGAATATCGTTGCATGTGCGCCGTATAGTAACACTCCGAGGTTATTGTGAGTGGAGAATTGCTCTTTATAGTACTGAGAGCAGACGTGTGAAGTATGTTTATGGTGGGAAGAATATGAAGAAATGAAAAATTGTGTTGATATACTAATGTTAAATGATAATTCCTGTACGGTTAATATATTAATGTGCATGCGCAATGCATATTATTTAATCATTGGTTGAGTCAGATCTAAACATTTCGATACAGTCACAAACGATCTGCAGCTATCTTCACAAAGAATGGCACGCAGATTGATTCTCGAAGAGGTGATAAATAATATACGGGAACAACCAGAAACAACGCCCATACTTGCGCTTACGAAGACTTACGGTAAATTATGGCCACATTGCGAAGAGGCAAGGATCGAAGAAAGGAAGAATGAAGTGTCCCATCATATCGCTCAATCATCTCATCCACAACCTTTCACTCACAAGCCTCAACAAAATTCCTTACAAACAAACCCACAAGAAGCTCCTCTGCCACTCAAAATAGCCATCCTCGATTCTTCCTTCAATCCCCCAACGAAAGCTCACGTACAACTCCTCCTTAACTCGCTTACCACATCTCTTTATGCACCATTTACCAATAAACCAGTAAGAATAGAGTTTGATGCGTGCCTATTATTGTATTCCACCAAGAATGCGGATAAAGTCGCAAAGAATGGTGATGCTGGGCCTGTTGATAGAGTATTGATGATGGAGGACGTGGCCAAGTATTTAAATGAGATAGCTGAAGGAAAGGTGACAAAAGAAAAGACGTCTGATGAATTGAATAGTTCAAAAGTCGAAAAGGGGCCAAGAGAAATTTCAGTAGATTACAAATTATCAGAGAGTCGTGGTAATTTTGATGATAACAGCAACAACGAAACGCGTTCAACCGCCAATGATGCAAAATTTCATTCAATCCAAAACATTGCAGTAGGAATAACCAATTCGTCCCGATTTACGGAAAAATCGCGCGCCCTCTTATCTTATTGCTCTCCGACGTTTTCTCCTTCCCTATATTTTATATTGGGCTTCGATACACTCATTCGCCTGTTTTCTCCCCGTTATTACTTTGACATCTCGTCGTCACTTTCTTTTTTGTTCTCTAATTCCTACATAATTTACGCCGAACGCGATATTAATGACAAAATAGTTGAGAATGAGTTTTGGCGCGGAAATAAATGGGCTAAAGAGTACGCGGACAAAATATATAGAGTAGAAATCGATGATGACGTTAAGAATGTGAGTAGCACCGAAGTTAGAAGGATCGTTAGCGAGCTGAGGGCGAAAGAAGGAGCAGAGACGGGAGTGAAAGAGGAAAGAAGTGAACGTAATAACAACAGCGGTAACAGCAATAATGTCGACATTTATGACACCAACGCGAGTAGTGATAAGGGTTGTGGATTTAATAATCATGTTTTGAGAAGACATTTGATGCCATTGTGCATCGATTCGGTAACAGATTTTATTATAGAGGAAGGTTTATATTAATGTTATAAATTGCACATGTTTTGATCAACACGTGGATTTCGGACCCCTGATCGTGCCTGCAGCGTTAAGCTTAGTATGGATTCTGACATTATCATGTACAACGTCAACGCGTATAACATGGATACAAGATTATAGAGGTATTCCTAATTCTCGATCAAAACGTAACAGTTCTTTTGATACATAGTTACAATGGTCTGCTGTAGCTTCTTCAAATGGTTAGAATCGGTATAAAAAATGTTTCAATGCTAATACAAATATGTTTATTTCCAAAAGTGTCAAATTGAGTAACATTAGCTAATACCAATTTGATTACATTCTTTGAATAAGGCAAGTTATTGTCAACTATCCTACGAAATATACAAAACTTATAGAACCGATCGGGAAGTCGTAATAATAACTATGTCGCATATAAATTAAGTACTTTTGATTTAAGTATATTAATATCTCTTGATTTTTGTGCTTTGTCCTGCCACAATACAAAGGAAATAAAATAGTTATTTAAGCGAAATCGGATTAAATGAAATAGAAGCTGTGCATCATGTCACTTGTATACAACAACTGCTCCGGGTAAAAGAAAAACAATATTGTGACGAACGTGTTTCATTTTAATCCGATCTGTATATTAATATTATGTAATAACATCGGTACATAATGAGATTCGCATGTAGCATAATAATAATAATAATCGGGAATTAATATTAACCCGACACGTTACACAATCCTACACGTCGTACATATACAGCCCATAATGTTTCTATCTATGGAAGTTATCCGACAGGTCACACAACCCGACAACCGGCAGACAGAACCCCAATAAAAACGGTAAAGATCTACTATTAACCTCCATAATATTCGACGTGTCCGTGTCGGGATAACCCAAGATTAAAATGCTGCGAGCACTTTTCTAAGTATGGCAAATTGATAATGTACATAACGTAAAGCTTACTAATTCTTCAAGAAACAATGCACTTATATAACAGGAACTCTGCACTATAAATTATGTAACCAACTTGTTTCTTGTAGACGATAAAGTAATATCTATGCTTATTTTAAACCCTATTAATTTATGGAGGCTGGTGAAGGTCACGCGTATTATCCCTCTAGCAACCAAAGAATAAAGAAGAGTAAGCATCAATTCAACGGTTCACTCAATATAAGAGAATATTCTGGATCATCGCTAATGCTGCTGAGGAACGCCTATTGTATAAGGAAGGTCTTTCTGATAACAACAAATTGATAATATCAAAAACTGATTAGTCAAATCAGGTTTTCAGAACGATTAAATAGAACAATATTAGTATTAGTATTCTTAGTCGAATCCTTGCTATCTGCGGAATATAAGAACAACGACATTTATTCATGCGATTATCGTGACAAGGCTAAGTTAAAATAATATAGTTCGTGCGACCCATTAAAATTCACACGTAAACACCACTAATGGTCGTGCTTTCTTCAATTTATGATATTGTTCGATTGGGTTCTGACTTTAGTTAATTAGCAATTAAATGTATCAGTACGTTTAATTATTCAAGCAAAATTTTAAAATTTACCATGCGATGTTCTAAGTAGTCGAAGATCTATTCCAAAACTCGAGGTTTATTCGACTGGAGTGAATTATAAATTACTTTACCGTTTGCTGGCGAAGTTAGATCTAACGCTAAACAGGTCTCTCGTTGAACGAATGTTAAAAATGAAAAAAAGTACAATGAAAGGTTGTAAGCGTAATAAACTACTGAACATAAACTTTAGCGGTTGACACGAATGTTAAAATATGCAGTAAATGCAAGGTAAGCAGACTCTTCCCATGAAGTGATTATTCTAATAATCAAAGGATTATTAATATGTGGTCAGGAACAACCATATTTCTTACTAATCAGCATCAACCAAGAGTTTCTTACCATAGTTTAGTATTGGTCGAAGCCATTTTTCTGTTTCTTCCATGTCTCTCTCAGTACGCTCTGTATAACTTATAACCTGAAAAGACAACGTCAGGAAGTCAGAATACGAAACATGTTGTATGTAACAAGATTTGCACAATAGTACTATAATTACCTGATCCTTCTCAATTTTGCCAACCGCAAAGTATTGAGACTGCGGATGTGCAAATACCAACGCTAGAAAAGATTGTCATAGTTAAACAACTATACAAAATTACATATTGTGTAAAGTATGAGTTCGAATAACATACCAGAGACACTAGCAGCTGGCCACATTGCCAAATTCTCAGTCAGTTCAACACCAATTTCTTGTTTAATGTCCATCAGTTCCCACATAGTGATCTTTTCCCGATGATCAGGCTGCGAAGGATATGCCGGGGCTGGTCTAATACCCTGATACTTTACTGCTAATACTTCTTCAACAGATAACTTCTCATCCTTTGCGTATCCCCACAACTCTCGTCGAATATCTTCGTGCAGACACTCTGCAAACGCTTCTGCGAATCTATCGGCAATCGCTTTAGTCATAATAACCATATAATCATCATGATCGGCTTCGTATTTCTGTGCTAATTCTTCAGCACCAAAGATTGAAACTGCCATGAGACTGAGATAGTCGGGTATTCCGGTTGACTTGGGCGCGATAAAGTCAGATAAACAAAAATATGGATCATTGTTGTCTTTTTGTGCTTGCTGACGCAGGCCGAAGAAAGTTGTTATTGGTTTATCACGATTCTCATCGTTATAGAGCTAATATAACCCAAGCAGTAGACGTTCTTCAGTAAATTGTTTTTGATCATGAACAATAATAAGTGATTGCATTACCTGAATATCGTCACCGACACTGTTTGCTAACATCATACGAAAGAGACGTCAATATAATAGCGATTCCGATATAGTGACAGCTTTCTTATTTTCTTACCTGGATATATTCCAACAATTCCTCTTGCTTGGAATAATTTGGCGTCTATGATCTTGTCAACAAGCATAAGAGCCTCATTGTAAACCTTTTTAGCCTCGTTGCCTGATAACCGAGAAATAATTTATTGTCAATACGTGAAGAAAGATGTCTGACCCATCAATAGGTATGTGATACTTGCCGACGTGCTCATCATTGAAAATCTTTGGATATCCACGATTCGGATATCTTCCTCTTAATTGCCTGGGGAGTTCACCATTAAAAAACAATCGTATACGGAAAGAGAAGACCATAAATATAAAACATATCTAGGCTACATACCATACTTGGAAAAATGGGTTCCAATCGATGTATTTAGAGATTCTTTTAAGATCGTAAGATTCAATTAATTTCTTCCCAAGGAAGGTTGGCTTCACAGGCTTGGGAGATTCCGTCCAGTTAATGTTGAATCCTTTCTCACGAGCAACAGTTAACGGCATGTATTTTCTGTCTTGCAAACTAGCATAATGATCTTCCCGTATTTCTTCATATTCTTCAGCAATATCTTCCCAAAATTCATCGCGTTGACTATCGATAAGATTAGATGCCTGCATAGACATTGAATTATAGCAATTGGAAAATAGTAATACATATCACAGTTTTTAAATTCTCACATACCACTACGACGCTCCTGGATGCATCAAGAACGTGGATTGTCGGTTGGGAATATTGAGGAGAAATCTTAACCGCTGTATGTGCTTTGGATGTTGTAGCTCCTCCAATCAAGAGAGGAATCTTATTGACATATTAGCAATAGTAAATAAAATGACGCGATATATCGGCAAAAGTAGTGGATAAAAGAAGGATGGAATAAAACCTTAAGGCCGCGTCGCTCCATCTCTTTTGCAACAGATATCATTTCATCGAGCGAGGGCGTGATAAGACCCGATAAACCAATTATATCTGCATTCTCTGCAAGTGCAGTCTCGATGATTTTCTCGCATGGTGTCATTACTCCCAGATCGATGACCTTTTAAAATAAAAGACTTAAGACGAACAAATTGATGGGGGAAAAAAGTGCTATACAAAAGTTATACCTTATAGTTATTGCAACCAAGCACGACTCCAACAATGTTCTTTCCAATATCGTGGACATCTCCTTTGACAGTGGCCAACACAACGACGCCTGCATGTTGAGGGCCAGAATCAAGACCACCCTCTGCAATATTGGCTAGACGTTCCTCTTCCATAAAAGGAATCAAATGTGCTACAGCTTTCTTCATCACGCTACGAGTGTATGATCATCAGAAACAAGAATCGTATAAAATTTTTAAGGATGAATAAGGTAGAGAGAGTTTACCGAGCAGATTTAATAACTTGAGGCAAGAACATTTTGCCTATATGAATAAACTGGGTGTAAATAATGACTGACTGGATGAATAAGAATGCTAGAATTCCGATTTCAACGTCGTTCACATATACCTGCGCCGAAAAGGTCTCCAACAGTACTCATTCCCTTCATGAGTGGACCTTCTATGACGTCTAATGGTTTTGAGAGCTTCATCCAGTATGATGTAATATTTCATTAAAACTTTGATATAACACAACGTTCCTACACATTATTATCGGAACACTTACATGTTGTCTGCATTCCTCTGTGTCTTCTATGATGAATTTCGTAATACCCTTGACTAATGCATATGATATTCTGTTCTCGATTGGTAATTTTCTCCACTCTTCTTCAGATTCTTCCTTCTTTTGGCCTTTTCCGTGAGTTTGCACATATGCAAGAATCTTTTCTGTCACGTCCGGATCCCTATTCCAGGTTGCATTTTCGCAAAGTTCGAGAAGATCCTTCGGAATCTCATCATAGATGGTAAGGAAGCCGGCATTCACAATACCCATATCCATCCCTTATAAGATCAATCAGCAAGTGTAAGAAACGTTACATCAGGTATTCTCTAGAATCATATTTAAAATGATTATTTAAGACCAACCTGCTTTAATAGCGTGATACAAGAAGACGCTATGCATAGCCTCACGGACTTGGTCCATTCCACGGAACGAGAACGATAAGTTTGATACGCCTCCGCTGATCTAGGGATTTAGTAATCTTAGTAAATACAGATAATAGAGTAATCTCAAAACATTACTAAAAGAAATTTCATTCACTTTAGCACCAGGTAGTGTCCGCTTTATTTCCCTCGTGGCTTCGATAAATTCGACAGCATAATTATTATGCTCTTCCATACCGGTACAAATTGTCAAGATATTGGGATCTGTGAATGTTAAAAAAAAAAAAAGACGCTAAGTTTCTCATAACTGAAGTCCTACTCCTTTAATTTTTTCCCCTTACCGAATATAATATCATTTGGATTAAATCCGACTTTCTCGGTAAGAATCTTGTAGGATCGCGTGCATATTTCGACCTTCCTATCCTTCTCCGCGGCTTGCCCAGTTTCATCAAACTAATGTCATCGCAGCGTCAGTCTTGTTGAAATTGATTCTAACTAAAATTAAGACCCGTTTGAAACCGAAAACTTACAGCCATTACAATGACACCAGCACCAAAACGACGAATTGTTTTAGCTTTCTTAATAAATTCTTCCTCGCCTTCTTTCAAACTGATACTGTTCACTATGCACTTCCCTTGGGCACATTTTAGACCCGCCAATATGACATTGAAGTTTGATGAATCTACCATTAACGGAAGCTATTGGAGTATATACAAAGAAATCTCATTGTAGGGCGAGGCTATTCTTGACTCAAACAGGTTCATCCTTGCGTTTGTTACATACCCGAGCGACGTCGGGGTCGCTAGCAATCATATTCAGGAATTTAGTCATAGCAGCTTCTCCGTCCAACATTCCTTCGTCCATGTTAACATCAATAATTTGAGCACCACCCTCCACTTGCAGTTTAGCGATAGCCATGGCCTCTTCAAATTCGCCATTTAATACATGCCTAGCAAACTTTCGAGACCCGGCGACATTACATCGCTCGCCAATGTTTACAAACATAGAGTCTTCATTGATCTTCAACAACTCTAGTCCGGATATTATCATGTTATCTTTTGACAGATCTCGCGCTGGCACTCGAGGCTTGAACTTGGAGCAGGCCTCTACAATAGCTTTAATATGAGCGGGCGTTGAGCCACAGCAGCCACCAACTATGTTTAGAAATCCATCTTTAGCAAACTCGGCGACAGACGCGGCCATCATCGCTGGTGTTTCATCGTAACCACCAAAGGTGTTTGGTAAACCCTATCGTATATTAACGAGACAAACCATCGATTAAATAAATATACACGTCAAGCGACTCAAGACTATATGCACTGACCGCATTCGGATAGCAGATCACAAAATGGTGCGTGAAATCTGAAATATTCTTGATAAACGGGCGCATTTGCGACGCCCCGAGGGCACAATTCAGTCCGATAGCTAACGGATTTGAATGACTAGTGCTCGATACAAAGGCTTCGCCAGTCTGTCCACTTAGCGTCCTACCGGACATATCAACAATTGTACCCGAAATGAGAATGGGAGTTCTGCGGTAGCCTTCGTCAAAAAGAGTGTCAATAGCATACAATGCGGCCTTGAGGGATGGAATTATTTGATATGAAGTGAAGACATCGTTAACACCATGAAATATTATAATTATATAGATAACTTTACATAGCAGAGACGTACTTTGGCATTAAGCGTATCGAAAATAGTTTCTACCAATAGCATATCGGCACCACCATCTAGAAGCCCACGAGTTTGTTCATTGTATGTTTTAACAAGTTCGTCAAAGGTGACATTACGATAAGCGGGGTTCTCAACAGATGGCGAGATAGAGGCAGTACGATTAGTTGGACCAATTCCGCCACAGACAAAACGTGGTCTGCTCGGATCTTGCGACATCATCTATTCGATATACATATGAAAGCATTCTGATTCAATATTTTTTTATTCATACAATTATTCTTTATTAATTGCACAATTGTGAACAACACCAAATCGCAGAACGAGCAATAAAAACAGCCAACAAATCCTACTTCGTCGCACGCCTCTTTAGCCAGTCTAGCAGCAGCAACGTTCAAATCATAAACACAGTCTTCACATAGATAGTCACCCTGTGCAATGCTGGTAGCAGAGAATGTATTCGTCTCAATAATGTCAGCCCCCGCCTGCAAGTATTGTAGATGAATATTCCGAATGTGATGCGGTTGAGTCAGTACAAGGATGTCGTTGTTACCCTTAAGGTCTTTTGGGTGATTTTTGAATCTTTCTCCTCGAAAGTCTGATTCAGTCAATTCTAGAGCTTGGATCATTGTGCCCATGGCCCCATCGAGGAAGAAAATACGCTTGGAAAGCTCTTCCTGGAGATAAGAATCTAGATCTTTGATATTATGTGATTGCATGGGTTCGACTATTAAATTTCGCAATACTGGATCGGTTAAAGACGACGAAATCGGCTCGGGGAAATTTTTTTATTATCAGGAATTTACCTGCCAGGTCGCACAACCCGACACGTCGTACAGCCCATAATATTCCTATTTATGGATCTGAGCGTCCGAAAGTATAATTTTGAGTCTGTACGATCTGGAAGGTTGTGGGTAAATTCCCGATTATAAATTTTTTAATCATGATGCAGATCTTATATTATCAGTCACGAGACATAAATGACATTTTCATTTGATATCACTCCCCCCTAAAATGCACCCCCCTCAGTTTGGAACTGTGTATTTAGAGAACAATGCAAAATGGTGCATTTACAGTGGTAACACCCGTTTACGTGATACTATTATTATTCAATGTTCCCAGCGCTATAATTTATTGAAGTATTGATCTATACTTGACTATTGCATTGCATTAGCCTTATATATTTGCATAGCTCAAACACTCATTTGCATTATCCCACACATATCTACAGAAGTTTGTTTACAGTCAACTGCCGATAATTCGACTTTCCAGTAATTCGATCGTCTTGAGCAAGACCCGATTTTTTCATATGATTTTATTCGATCAAACTTATAAATTTTCGATAATTTGTTAATTTGACCGCTTAAATAATTTCTATTAAGCCAGTGCATATAAATAATATTATAATTACGTCCATTAATTCGACCACAGTCAAACATTTCCATTGAAGGGTTAATTGGTTTATTTCTGCCGATTATTCGACCGGTTGCATTGTTTTTGTGATAAAAATTTTCGTTTATCCGACCGACATTAATATTAAAAACTTCCCATCATACGTTATTTTTTCTCAAAAATGCCTCGGTCGAAAAAAAAAGTTACGTTGGGTGCCAAGAGATATGTCGGCGAAAAGCTAAAAACCCTCAATTATCTAACTTGGAATTAGCTAAAAAATATCGTGTAGGAGAAACAACCGTACAGAATATTATAATTCAATCAGAGAAATGGATGAATATCGATATAAATAAACTTTATGCTAAACAATTAAGAAATCGAAGGCCAAAATGGCAAACGTTGGAAGAAACAACAATCTATTACACGGTTTTTATGTTAAGGTTTACCCTCTGAATAGTAAACAGTTCAATTAAGAATATGAGATCTTTTTTGGACGAATCTGAATCTTTACTTCTTCAGTAACATTTTTTGATCCTAAAAGCATTCCATTAGTTCGTAAAAATGTTGAAATAAATTCCGTGTCACATTAAGTACGCCTGATTGGATATTCGTTAATTCGACCTTTACGATGACCCACACAGACTATATTCCCTGCAAGAAAGTAATTTGGAAAGCGGTGAGGTAATTCGCAAATTAGCTACTAACGCTTTTTTTGCAATACTAAATCCATTCGATTTTATTAGATGGAATTCGATCTCTTCCGTACGGTCATTGGCGAATATAGGTCTAGAGATAGCAGAAAGAAGAGCTATGTCAGTAAGTTTATGCGCGAATGATTTAACTGATTGAGTGTCTCAAGTCATTGCGCTTTTGGCTCGACATCATATTATCTAATATTTTGCGTAGCGCAATTTTTTTATGCAGATAATAGTTTAGCAAAATGTGATCTAACCTCTTATCGACGTCTATCAGTGTGGTTTATTTTGAATCGTTTCTTTATGGGTTAAGTTGTTTTAAAGCTGTTAATTAAGCAATTGATGCAATTTGTTTGTTATGAAAGATAATAATAATTCACTTCATTGCTTCTAAAACCAACATTTGAACATCGTATAAATCGATAACAAAATTAAGGCCAACAACTGTATTGGGCACAAATACAGCATACTGTGCAGGAACTGTCCCAACGAGTGGGGGGTCATAGAAAACATACGAGACCGGAACGGTCACTCGAAAGGCATCAAGATTTGATGCATTGCAATCCGTAAGCGTAGGTGTCTTAGTGCCATACCGCATAGTACCGAAATCCCACTATTATTAGCAAAAGTTAGTTTAAACCTTTGATGTCTGATCATGAGAGTATAGCAGCAATCAACACTACCTCTGTGACGTGTACGCCTGCGTCTGCTAAAGTTGTATTTGTCGATATTACACTTCTTCCCGATGCTTCTCGTGTCCACAATCTAGCCTAATATTGAAAAGTAAAATAAAAAAAAGTAATCAAGCTAATCGAATAACGAATAAGTGTTAGACATACAGTACATACAATCATTTGCCGGTGAACGGCTGTTCCCATAGTCTTCTTAGGAAAAAGCTTGATGCCGAACACACAGCGAACGTATGGTTCAAGCATCCATGTTTCACACTTTTTATTCCAGTGCCCGACCCCTTGGGCGTTAGCTACCTCGCAAACGATTCTCGCATGAGCACAACCCTACCAAACATAATAGTGTTAGGAAATTTGCTTAAAAAATAAAGATGATACCTACATAATATTAATCCATAGTTACGTTAACGTCACTAGGGGGAGGGCCCGGGTGGGGAATTGATGGTCGTAGTACGTAATTTTTTAGTGGACGGATTGCGACATCTGCTGCTATTTTTTCCCCACTGCCCGTTGGATTATAATGAACTATATAGAATGAAATGTGAAACTGTTATGACTAGCCCAAAAAATCAAGCAGGTTTAATGAAATGTCTTACATGCGTCACCATAGATGTATATTGGGCCAACCATTGCACCATTATTTGGTATGGCGAAACGTTGTATAAGATATACTACGACGGCCCCATGCTCTGCGTTTGACATGTCAACAATATATACGTTCTTGTTTTCCCTATAGAACTTATATCCACTCGATTCGTTTTCGTCGAGAAAAGCGTTATAGCTATTTACTGAAACTTTCGATCCTATCTTGAGAGGTAAACTGCAACAATATAAGTCAACACGGATGTATCAAGAAATTTACGTGAGGCATATACCTATCTACCTCTCTTCTGACAAGGTTCGCGGTAACTTTGGATAGTTGTGGACTATCTTATCAACTTTATTACCAATTTTCTTTGCTTTCCTCTTTACCACTTGCCAACCAGAGCTTGAAGGGTTTAAAGCAGACATTTTTGAAGAGCGAGTTCGCGATATCATTATTTAATTGATATGAAGCTTTATGCAAAGGCGGGGTTTCGTTTTTATATTCTGCATGATAAATTTCGTAAATAATGTCATCATAAAACAACCGTACCCATATAAGGAAATGGGGACACAATTCATTAAAATCGGTTTTTATACTATTTATAATAATTTTTAAAGGCTTACGCAGCCCAACCCTGCAATAAACGTGTGAATCCCTCACCCTTGCGTAGCTGTTACTTAACAAAAATACCTAAGGATGCAATTCTGAAGACTCAGCTGAATTCCGTTCGTTTGAGCGGAGAGAAATGGAGAGATGTTAAGAATAAAGGAGGAAGTAGTTATCCTATGCAATACTTGTTAGGATATTAAATCCGACAAGTGATAAGACTAATTTGTCGATATATTAATATGCAGTAATACTACTGTCTTCCGTACGGCTGAACTGTGTTTGAGTCGCGGTTGAGTCATGGTTAAAAATCCAATATAAATATATATGAAAAAAAAAAGCACCACGGTTGATTTTGTGCAATGTGGACGGACAGATGAGCGTCATCGCCCGAATTCGTTAATGCAAACTCTATTATGAATGAAACGGTTCCAAGAAAAATGGCAAAGTAATCTTTTTAAATATTTGTAAAATTTGATGGATTCTGGTGAAAGAGGGAAGAAGATATCAAAAAAATCTTACAAGAAGAAGGTTATATTCTCTGTGAAGGGTGTGAGTCTTGCTGAGTATTTGTTGAGTGGTCAGTAGTGTATCCAAAGGTACGCTGCCACTAGGTGTAAATCGGAGTTCTCCAAAGCACAGAAGAATGTTATAAAGATATAAAGAGCGTACTATTGGTATCTTGGTGGTTGAGCTGAATGCGTACTAAATAGAGCGAATATACAGTAATATCATTCTAACAGCATGTATTCGGATTCATCGAGTCTAAAAAACGAGTTGATAGTTATGACAATAATTATTATGGTATTTTTTCTATCATTTTGTCACATCATTTAATTCAGTTGAATCATTTTATTTTACGTAACATGCATGTTGTACAAAAATAACCAATATTCCGCATATACTGTAATTCGATAATAAGGTAACGAGTTATACCAAATGCTAAGGTTGTAATTTGTACTTAATGCAATTAACTGATTAAACCCAACATAACGGTTTGTAGATTTTAATAATATAATATTTTGCAGCTGCGGATTATGCATGTAAGAGTAATACATTTAAAGATAATAAGAGGACTTAACCAATTGTAAAAGAAAAAAAGAAAGTTTAATGAAAAGTGACGTTCCTGTCAAAAGCTTACTATGCTGGGACAATTGCTTTCTCGTGGACCAGTTATATTATTTGGCTTGATATTAGCCCAACAAAGAGCTTGGTCGGCATTAGTTTCCTTGTTAATATCAATGAAAATAACTTTACTTGGTTTTGCAGTTCTAAGAGAAGAATACACTGCTAGTGCTCTTTTTTTTTGACGTTTTAAACCCAATTATTATTATTATGTGTAATAAATCCAACGGCAAGAGAAGTGCATTATTTGATTAGCCACGAACGTTTCGATTGTGACACGACTTTATTTCATACGAGTTGCAGTTATAACAATACCTAATGTATATATGTGTGCATGTATATGAGAGTGAAATGAAGAACATATTATCAGTGCTTATAAGCCATTCAATAAAGTCTTCTTCACTGCCCTCTTAGTTATTGCAGCGATAAGAAATATTGATTGGTCAGTAAGGTATTCTGCTTTCAATTGCGCTCTCAATAATTCATTCTCACATTCGCGTT